AACATTCTATAAATGCTCTTCCTATGTGCCAGGCATCTAGAACTGACATTCCTGCTCTATCCAGCCTGACTTTTCAAACCTTGGACAACTCAGCTAATGTCACTCAGAGCCTGTCTTCTCACATGTAAAACAAATATAATTCCTATATTACTGAACTCAAAACACCATGCTTCCATCCTTCTTCCATGCTCCTTTTTCTCTCTCTGCGCCTCTCCCTCTTTATAGAATTAGCATCATTTCCCTACATATAATCCTCCAGTGGTTTCCCATCACAGCAAGACTAAAATTCACATTTTTGCTGAGGCCCACTAGGCACAGTTTAATGGACCATATTCCTGCTCCTGGTGTCCCTCCAGTCTGCAGCTGCCCCGTGTTTGCTGTGAGTGGGCTGCACGCTGTGTTCCCATCTGAGGAACCTGCATGGAAGCCTCTCCCCCCACGGGTTCACAGGGCTCCCTCCCATTTCTAGAACTGCTCAATGTCACTTATGGAGAGCAGCTGTCCTTAACCACCCTGGCTTTCTTGATTGTTCATGTGCGTCTGGTCCTAGGCTCTTCTAGAACGTCAACGCCTAAGTTAGGCTGGGGCTGTGCTTGAATATCACTGTTTGTCCTGCATCTGGAATGGTGCCCAGTAAACATCTACTTCAGTGTCCCAAACCAATCAAGCTTCTCCCAGTTTTCTTATATCTTCTAAGGTTTTATCTAATGCAATCTTTTGATTTGTCAGTTAAGATCAGCACTTATATAAGATCTTAGAGTAGTAGTTACTCAGAATTAGACAAAAAAACAAAAAACAAAAAAAAATCTAAAGAAGTTTAATGTCCAGTGAAAAACCAAATGTGACTTTAATTTGAGATGAGAACAGTTAATGTTAAAATATCTTAACCACAAAATGACATCCTAATTAAGTTATAAGGTGTACCATCTGAATTCTACAGATAAGTACATTGCAGCTGTTATTATCCGTGTCCCAGAATAAAGCACTGTAATGGGCTGTGTACAGTGTCATCTGGAAGGTGGCCCATTGTAACGAGTGGGCCCCTGATTGATGCTCCGGCCACTGGAAGGCACAGCACAGCTCTTAAAAGGCTGAGGGGAGCTCCTCCCAGCTGCAGGGACACACACCCTGCAGGGCTCTCAGGGTCAGCACAGTCCCGGGAGCTTCTGTCACCACTTCTCTTTACAACACAGGGTTATGCAGAGCACACGGGGACCGCACTTGTAAACAAAACAACATGTCAAGTTTATATGCATAGGAAAGGTTCAGAAGAAATAAACACCAAAATATTAATAAAAGTTGTGGCTATTCTCAGCATAAGGGAATGACTTCTATATTTTGTAAATCTTTTACATTAAATGCTTATTAATATTGTCACACACAAAAAAGAAGGTCAAATTACTACTGGAAAGAGTCAAGTTCTGTTGCACAGAGGTTTTTCCACATAATATTGGCAATTCCTTCCCTACTCACTCCTCAGGGCCAGGGGAGGAAGGAGTCACTTGAGAGAAGACCTTTAGGAAGAAAATTAGCAAAGCTCCTAAGGTCAGAACATAAAGGCTGTGCAGACAGTTAATGAGCAATAATGAAATTGGATAAAGGACCTTCATATGTCACTGGCACCACCCTCGATTATACTAGATATACTGTCAGATAAAGGCAAGGCAGAAAACTTCTTTTATTTCTGTCTGAAATCTATAGTACACTTTTAAGAATATCTCTTTGAAATGGCTTAAAGAAATCATGTTCTGTTTCAGAAGAATAAGGCAGAGCATCATTCATGAATGATTTTGTGTAGTAGTCAAATAACTCAATTATTCATTGTAGAAAAGCTGGACCATTTTACATCTAAGTAGGTATTTCTTAGTTTCCCTGGACTGAGATAAAATTGACTGAAATAAAGATATCAAAAGCAAACTTTCAATGTCCTTGTACTTTATATCTGGCATTTTGACCTTGTTTTTATGGAAACTTAAGGATAGCTAAATGTTGAAATAGAGGTTTCTCATATCACTTTATTGAATGTCCCTCAAAAATTAAAAACAAATTGAGATAAAATTTTAACTATTGTATAAAAAATAAAGAGGTAAAGTCTACACTTATGAACTTTATTTTTTAACCTTTCTGACTGAAAATGTTCAGTAGTCAAATATGCTTAATCCTTGTTACTTCATCGGCCCTCGTACCAGCTTCTCCTAAAGTCCCTCTGTGTCCAGAGCACTCTGGCATCAATGTCAGGTCACCAGAACACACTTTAAAATGTATCAACTCATTAACCTGGTAAATTCATGCTATTTTATGACTTCTGCTTTTATTCTTATCCACTGTAATGAATTTAGAGACATAGGATAGAGTGGTAATGGTGGCATCTGACTTGTATACAATAATTTCAAAAGGAAATAATCAACACTGGAGTAAGTGTAAATAGGCTCACGTCATGGAGAAATTATCAAATACAAGTTGTGTTCTAAAGAGCTTTCAGTCCCACAGAGATGGAATCTGGCACATCTGTCAGCTCCACGTCAGCCCTTCTGCTCAGTAGCCGTGTTCCAGTCAGGTCACACCTCTCAGTCTCTGTTTCCTCAGCAGCAGAGAGAGAATACACAGGGGCCTTGTTTGCAGGTAGAAGCCCAGAGGAGATGTACATGGGAGTGAGCTGTAATCTTAAAGAATTATGTAGAGGCCCAACACTACCCATTACTAACTGGTTTATGAAATCACTAAGACAGAGGCTTACCTTACAACACCACGCAGAGCAGAAGTTTTTACCGCTACTCACTTGATTTGTGTTTAAAGGTACAATTATAGCCCTGGCCAGTTTGGCTCAGAGGTTAGAGCGTCGGCCTGTGGTCCAGAGACCCAGGTTCGGTTCTCACTAAGAACACGTACCTCGGTTGCAGTTTGTCCCCGGCCCTGGTTGGGTCGTGTGAATAGCAACTACTCGATGTGTCCTTTTCACATCGATGTTTCTCTCTCTATCTCTTCCTCGCTCTCCCTCCCACTCTATCTGAACAAAAAATGAAAAAAATGTCCTCAGGTGAGGATAAAAAATAATAATAATAATAAAATAAAGATACAATTACAATTAATTCACATAATTTGTTCATTTTTCCCCACAATATTTGAATATTCTAAAAAGGGAAAACTTCTCAGTTACAAAGCCATGTCCACCATCTCAGTGAATCCACAGATTTAATTATTCCAACTTTTAAAGAAATTAAAAGCTTTCCCTGGCCCATCTTGCTCAGTGGTTAGAGCGTCAGCCCACTATTCAGGGAGTCCTGGGTTCCATTTTTGCTAAGGGCACGTACCTCGGTTGCAGTTTGTCCCCGATCCCGGTTGGAGTTGTGTTGGTGGCAAAGACCAGTTGATGTGTCTCTCTCACATCAATGTTTCTCTCTCTCTCTTCCTCCTTCTCTCCCTCCCATTCTATTTAAAGATAAATGTATAAGTATCCTCAGGTGAGAATTAAAAAAAAAAGAAGAAATTAAAAGCTCAACTAAAGTTTAAATAAAATAAGAGCTATAATACATTTCATCTATAAAATAATGAAATAATCTCTGATACTTAAATGAAATAAATGAACCAATGGGGTTTTAACATCTCTGTGAAAGTATGTTTTCTACTTTAAAACACAGTCTTCATTAGCTACCTTGTGACCCAGAATTATTTTCAACCAAATGTTTTCTCTCTTCTCCCTTCTCCTCCTCTTCTCCACTCCCCTCCCCTTCAGCCATCTGGTCTTCAGAACTTTTACCTCAACATTCTCCCAGTTAAACAGGAATCCCTGGCAGGAGGGGAGAGGATGGAGAGGGAGCCATGGAGACAAACATTCTCATGAACAATCTGGCACCTTAACTCCCAAGGCTTTATGTTACAAATTAAAGTCTACATTTGTGTGCTCTTCCCTTTGGCCACTTTTGACCAACAGCCTTGTCACACACACACACACACACACAGACTTTAAAACAGAAAATATGCAAGTAAAGTCTGTAAGTCACTGAAGGAAGACTGAGACATACTGTGTCAGAGTGGATACATGAAAGTGGTCAGAACTCTCTGGGTTTCTCCTTTGTGTAAAAAACTACCAACCAAAAAAAAACTATTTTCTGTAGCTCTGGCAGTAACATTTCACATCATTCACTAATTTTAGGTTCCCTCTCCCACCATGTCCTTCTGTGTTGAAATTATAGTTGGGAGAATTAAAGCAGCTTCTATCCAGGCAACTGAAAACAACCTACTTAAGAACATCATATAGCCTGGCTGGTGTGGCTCAGTGGTTAAGTATCAACTCATGCACCAAGAGGTCACTAGTTCAATTGCTGGTCATGGCACATGCCTGGGTTGTGGGTTTGATCCCCAGTGGGGGGCATGCGAGAGGCAGCCAATTGATGTGTCTATTTCTTTCTCTCTCTCCCTTCCTCTCTCTCTAAAATCAATAAAGAAAAAAATTTTTTTAAAGAAAACCATATAGATTCTATATAGTTATCTATTTTGAATTTAAATAAGAAACTTTAAAATCTTTGTAGCTGAACTGTCCTGAGTACCTACTATCTTAACAGGTGGGAGCAAGGGTATAACCAGGCCCTACCTGGTTCCTTCACTTAAGTACATATGGATAGGTAAGGATAGGAAGATGGGATGGACAGTCTGAACTTGGGGTATTAAATTTTCACTGAGAAAAAAGAGAAAATATACCCCAATGTCTTCATCGAGTCCCATAAGACATTAAGCAGAGCCATAAACAGGAATGTCTCAGGCTGGAATATAAAATGGGAACAGAAGAAAGAACTGGGCATTTGGGTAGTGAACAGGGAAAGAAACTGGCCAGACATGATGGGAAAAAGAATAAGGTGTGGGGACCCCAGGAAGAGCCAGCTCTTGGAAAGTCATCTCCAGGCAAGAGGGAGCCTGAGGTGGTAGCTCCCTTCTAGGGGATCCTGGGGGCAGCGGAGGCCAGAGGTCCACCTGAGAGCAGAGAACACCTGCCACCTCCTTACCTGCTGGCATTTTCAGGTCACTCATGCGCAGCACAGGTTGTCCCTCCTCGAAGTCTAGGTCATCTAACTTTGCAACTTTCTGGACAGCTGTGGCTGGTGGTACTGCCACTGATTTCCTGGTGCCTGGGTCATAGACATCTGACTTACTGACCCCCTGACTCACCAGCCCAGAGTGCATGCCTGGCTTGGGGCTGTCATTGGGCGTCTGGCAACATGATTGGATGTTTCCCATGAGGTGACTCCACTCCTTACTGTTGTCACTGTCTTCACTCAGCAGTCAGCCCCTAACCCCAAACAATGGCAAAGCACCATGCAGCCATTGCCCAGGGGACACTGGGCTGCCAGGCCCTGGGCAGGGCTCAGGGCCTGGCCACGCCCCTACTGCTGCCCTGAGCTGCTGTCCAGCTGCTACCTCCTCCCAAGTTGACAAGTCTGTGAGGACAGTGAGAAGCCTGACTTATCAAAAAGGTAATCAGACAAGCACTGAGAACAACCACTGCAAGAAGAGAGCACAGCCAAAGCCCCTCCTCCCTCCACAGCTGCCTCTCAACTGAAAACAGTTCTCCTGGCTGACACCAGCCAATCAGAACACATTCTGTGGTCACCTGGTTACAAGGGACCATTATGCTCAGAGTTCCATTCATGAGCCCAACTTACAGAGAAGGCATATGGTTCAGAAACCCCTCCCCCCACCCTGGCAGCCACACCACTGCTGTCCTTTCCAAGCGCACACACACACACACACACACACACACACACACACGGCCCAGTCCTGGGTTCCATACACAATTTCCTAAACACTGTCACGTGTTGTTGGGAGGGCAAAAAAGCTACAGATGCCATTGACTATGGTAACTGGGTGAGGAAGTGAACAGGATGTGAGAAAGTGAGGAAAGCAACTGAGGGCTTCTCCTCCCAAACATTTGGCTGAGAAGAGAGATGTGGTAGCAGTGAGGAAGAAATACACTGCTAGGAGTTTTTATTTTAAGATGAAAAAATGTGAGTATATTTATATGTCAAAGGGTAGGAGCCAATGGAGGGGGGAAAAATGAAGTTAGAGGAGAAGGGGAATGAACGGAGCAGGGCTCACAGAGGCCGAAGTGGACGCACTCCAGAGCAGGGACAGGTTAGCCTGGACCATAGAAGAGCAAGGAGGGAGAAGGACTGTGTGGTCATAGAGACATTTCTGGTAAAGGAGAGATTTAGGAAGAGCTCATCTGATGACCTTTGTTATTCTTTCCTTTATGTATTTTTAAAATTGAATTTAGAGAGAGAGGAAGGGAAAGATAGAAATATCTTTCAGAGAGAAACATCAACATCAACTGGCTGCCTCTTGCACACCCCCTTAGGTGATCGAGACCTCAACCTCATGCCCGAGCCCTGACCAGGAATTGAACTGATGGTTTCTTGGTGCATGGTTCAACACTCAACCACTCAGCCACACCAGCCAGGCAATTTTTTATTTTAATAGGCTTTTATTTGGAAAGCTACTCAAGGAAAGAGAGAATAATATATAGAGAAGTACACACTTTAGAAAAGTTCAAAATACCTAACAAAAACCAAATAACTTTCCTCAAAGGTGGGTATACTGAAAAGAATTTTGAGAATAATCCAAGAAGCTCTACAATAAACAGGTATGTCACCAAAGTAGAAAAGGAGGCTAATTATTTCTCACAAGAAGTTAGAAGATATAGCAACAACTTCTGGAGAGGAATAAGAAAAAAAATTATGAAGAAAATGACAAGCAGTAGAGAAAGGTGTGAACATTTATAAAACTTTTAATTATATAAGGAGCCCCCCAAATAAATAAAGGACCAGAGGGAGTGTTCCCCTTTATTTAAAGGATAGCAGGAGAGAGAGGTCACCTCAAAAATTAAAGAAGCAGGGATGATTAATAGTTAATTTAATAGATTAAAAGATATAAGTAAGGGTTGGTGACAAGAATGAGCAATATATTGAAATGTGGGAGACCAGAGTGGAATGGGAAAGGATTTGATGAAGTTCCGTTTCAGTAAACAGCATCTTGTTGAATCCTTATGTACAAGTGACTGCATTCCATGGTAATAAATTATTGTCTGAAGTCCTAGGAATGCCACTAGATACATTTGATAGACCTGAGACAACACCTAAGATTATGTTACAAAACACTGCCTGCATTTAACAACAGATAACACACACAAACAAAAATGCATAACCCTTTTTATTATTTTCTTGTTAATCCTCACCAGGGGATATTTTCCCATTGAATTTTAAGGAGAGGAGGAGGGGGCTTGGGAGGAGGAGGAAAGAGAGACAAAAACACTGATGTCAGAAAGACACATCAATTGGCTGCTTCCATAACCACCACCAGGGCCAGGGATCAAACCTGCAACCCAAGTACGTGCCCTTGACCAGGAATCAAACCTGAAATCCTCTGGTCCTCAGGCCGACACTCTAACCACTGAGCTAAATCAGCACCAAGGAAGAAAATGGCAGTCATATAAGTACTGTGTGCTTACCAATTGCGACACTGGAGCTCCCAAAGGGAGCAAATGGAAGACATCTGTGATACAGTCAACGATAAAGAAAAATGTATGACCCTGATTATTAAATAATTTAAAACTTGCTAAGCAAAATAAATAACACAAAGAATTATTAAGAAAAAAAATTATAAAATATTTTGTTTGAAGAGAACCCCAGAAAACAGTAAGAAAACCCCTCTCCTTCTAAAAGAGTAGCAAGTCTAGGAGTGAAAAGGGCAGCTATTGGGAGAAATACGATTTGAAGTATGGAAGAGTTTGATTTTATGATAAAAACGGACACCTTGCCTTTGCAACTGATGGGTGAATATCCCCTGGGAAGACTTTAAGGTCAGTGTTTTACATGGTCTGGTGTAAACTCATTCATTCATTTGTTTGTTCATTTGTTCATTCATTCATTCAATATTCATTCAACTCCCAAGCCTTTACCACATGCCACACATGTTTTTAGGTGCTGGGGATGTTGCTTTGACCAAGATAAACAAAGTGCCTATTCTCATGAAATTTATTTCTAGTAGAAGGGTCAACACACAATGTTGCCCTTCACACCTGAAACTCAAGCCTACACTCAGAATGGCTATTGATCTCTAGCTGTTTTATCTTTTTTCTAAACAGAAGGGTGAAATAAGATAAGGGAGACTTTTTCAGTGCTTACATATTACTGGCTTAAAGCTTAGTCATATGGCCACACATAGCTGCAAGAGACACTCAAAAAATGTCATCATGTAGCTGAGTAACTAACACAGAAGGGAGAACTGGATATTGAAAAGTAACTAGCACTCTATGCCACAATCTATAAGAAAAGTTTCAACGTCAGGAATAATCATGATAAAATTTCATATATTCCTTGGCAAGCATATATGAAAAATTTATACAAGCGGGTCTGTAATAATCTTTTCTTAAACAAACAGGACAGAAACAGTGGAGCGAGGCTTAACCTCTAGGATGAAACCAGATTAGAAGCAAGAAAGACTTGCTGGCGGTCAGTGATCGGGATCACAGAGCACATGCGTATTGTGACTAACAGGTTCCAGCTTGAGTATTATGACCAGTGGTTCTTCCAGAACAGGAGTTTGTGTGTAAGTAACATGTACATTTTCCCTGGGCTGAGTTTATTATTATCATCATATTCTCTAAGATGCACATAAGCAAAATTGCTAAGAATTACTATACTTGATTTAATGTAGAACAATTCTCATTCCCAATTTCAGAAAATTACAAGCTAGAATTATTGTAGAAAGATGGGCATTCCATGGTGCCGATATTCACATTTATGTAAACTGTCCGGTGCCTCTTCCACCAGTCTCTTTCCACACCTTCTGAACATTTCTCCCATCTTCTCTCTTCTCACATCATGTAGGTTTCTTTCTGCCAAGTGAATCAGTTGAGATAAAAAGGCTAAATGATTTGATATGATGCTCTGAGAATAATTATAAGGTGTTAGTTTGCCATACCATCAGGGAAGTTAATACTTACTGGACAGGTCAGTTTGGTCCCCAAAGGTCCACTGTGATTACAGTCCCAAACCTGGGGCATTTTATGAGACAAGTTCTAAGAAGGGCCTGCAGTGTTGAGAATAGTGGGTTTTTTTCCTTTCCTTTCTTTTCTTTTTAGGAATTCAGTAAGCTTATTAATTAAGCTCAGTAGGAAAAATGCCCTTTCTCTCTGGTGAGTTCAGTGAGCTGTATGTGCATCACATATTTAATGGGATCAAGCTAGCTGGCTTTCATATATCCTTTCAAAAAGAAATAATCTGCCTCAGGTCAACATGGACTGCAAAGTTGACTATTTGTCATGGTTTGGCTGTATTTCCTAAGCCTACAACAGAAACTGGAGTTTCAACAACCAGAAGACAGAGCAAAGGTATACACAGATATATGTGTGCATATAGATAGTGCACATCTTTCAGAAACAATTATGTGCAAGTCAGTCAGTGAACAAATAATTTTATACCAGTCTGTTATGAGAGCTACATGCCCACCTTAACTGCTGTTAAGTATAGAATGTTAAACTGGAATTTCAGGCAAAGAAAAACTATTAAGTCAGATGAAAATATGAATAACTTCTATAACAAAATCAACAAAAACTTAAAACAATAATAAATTTTATTTGAAAAAAAAATGCTCTCTGCCCTGGCCAGTGTGGCTCAGTGGCTGGAACATCTGCCCACACACCAAAGGGTCACAGGTTCAATTACCTGACAAGGGCACATACTTGGGTTGCTCTCCACTCAAAAAAGTTTTTGTGATATATAAGTTGTCAGAAGGTTCTTTTAACAGCTTTCCTGAGGTATAATTCACATAACATCAAATGTCAAGTGGATAATCCAATGAGCTCTCTCTGTCTCTTGAGCATGCCTGGGCCCTTCCCTCTGTCCTTCCCCCAGGCTCATTCTCCCTGCTTTCTTTTTCCTAAGCTCCAAGTGTCCTTCTTTTGCCTTGTAACTCATTTCCTGAACCTATTTCTTCTACAGCTCACTTCTTCTACCTCTGTGACTTCATAAACTTTGACTTATAGTTTGAGTCTAGACTCTGTATGCTTTCTTAGCCAGAACTCAAATACTGAGGTCTGGTCTGACTCCAGCGGTCTAAAACCTTCACCACCACCAAAAGAAAGAGATGATTTAGCTACTTCCTTTGGTGTGACAGCAGATAAAATT